CAGGAGAGTGAAGACTGTAAACAAAATTTAAAAGCATCTTCATCTTTTTGAAGTATTATTTCTGTAACAGTTGGATGTGAATTTTCAAGTAAAACTGTTTTACTGGTTGTGTTTCAGTTGATATATCTGTTACATTTGATAGTCAATTTAACACTCGGTTAAATAGTGTCACATTTTTTAGTGCATTTACCTATATAATTTTTGTACATTTACGTTTTTGTTTCGTCATCTTTTTCTTGTTTTTTTTTTTTTTTTTTTTTTTTTGCTGATACCAATGCGAGTTTTTCCTAAAAAGTATTTTCTATTGTCAGCATATTATTGCATTTTGCTTTCCAAAAATTTCTGTTTTGCCGTAATTCTGTAAGTACAACTCTCCAAAAACAAAAAAAAAAAAAAAAAAAATTTTGCTATTCTGTAGTGTAATCTAAAAGTTTTTTTAGAGCATTTATCCTTTTAAATGTATACGGCTTAAGTCTTTTCAATTAGCTGTTAAAGAAAACCAAAAAAACGATGGAGTATAGTTGATGATTTTTTTAAAATTGTCCAATTTTTTTTTTATAAGTTTTGCTGAAGGTTTGCAATAAAAAAACTGAAAGTAACCGGTGGTGTAAAAATAGCAACAATAGGGAACTTTTGCAATATTGGTTTTATTTTGTTTTACATTTTCATTTTTTTTCTGATATTTAACAACTTTTTTAAAGCAAAAAAAAAAAAAAAGGAAACAGTTTTGTGTCTTTTTTTTTTTTTTGAAAGATTATTGTTGTTTATCAAAATTTGTGCATAAAGATTTCAAATTAAAATATACATCATCGGCGATAATTAGCCGGAAATAATCCAGCAGAAAAAAAAAAGAAAAATCTTTTTTTTTTTTTCTATTTAGTAGATTTATCAGTTTTTGATTTATCAGAGCGCTTTTTGCCATACAGTGATTTCTTAGGCGAATTTTTACTCGGTGCAAACCTTCCCTTTCTGGGCAACAGTCCTTTTTCAATCATATCGTAAGCCATATCAATGATTCCTTTTCGTGGATCTCTGAAGTTCATTTTTAGAATTCGTCGTGCCTAAAAATACCGTTGTTTATAACCAAAATAGCATTAATTTTTCATCAAATTTGCATAAGTTATACACTATTTGTAGATCATTCAGTTGAACAAAAAGAATGCACCTTTGAATTGTCAAAATATTCTTCATGACCATAAAGATCAACCGCAGAACGAGCTTTTGCGCTAAGTCGAGCGTAAAGCCATAGCAGAACAAATGGTGCCTTTATTGCGGGAACATAATAACCTATAAACTTAATGTATTCTTCATTTTGGTAATGATAACTTTTCTTTTTTTTTTTTTTTATATTTAAAATTTTATCTTATTGCTACTTAAGTTTAAGAAGAATTTTTTATGAAAAAAGTTTTTTTTTTTTCGTACAGTTTTTGCAATGAAATTAAGAAACTGAAGAATAAAGTTGTAACGAAAATTTTTGATTGTTAAACAATAGCACTTTTTCCTATCAAATACTTACCTAAAAATGTTATAACTTTTTTTTTTTTAAACATTTTTCTAAACATATTTATAAAAAAAAAACATACATCTAATATGGTTAGTAATTTAAAGGCTATACTTAGAGTGTGTGTTTGTGTGTGTGTGTGAGTGAGTGTTTTTTCATGGGTTTATTTAGTGTTGCACCAAAATTTGCTTGCTGTACCTTCTGAGGCGAATTCTTTTCGAAGTAAATCAGCGATTTCCTTAAATGACATTGTACAACAGGTGAGAAGAAAACGTTCACCATCTGATTCTGGATAGAGCATAGCTCGAAGATGTGCTTCAGCTACATCTTCAATGTCTACTATCGATATACTTAACTGTGGATAAGCAGGCATTGTAGAATCCAAAAAGTAACCTATTACCTGTAAGAGATCAATGAATATACATTTTAAACTTTTTTAAACTTTTGTGAAGAGAAAGAGAACGTTTAGTTGTTTATCAACAGTTTACAGATTTTATTTGTTATGTTTTCTAAAATACCTTCAACTTTAATACTTTGATTACAGTCACAATTTAACATAATGAAAATCTGTAAAACATTTCTGTTTTTATACAGTAGAAAAAAGAAACTTCTATACTTTTATTAGGAAAAAAAAAAAAAAGTTAGAAAGCACTTACTGCAGCACTGGCATTTTTATAATTATGTAAAAGACGTCCAACAATAACTCCCGGATTTACAGCTGTAAGTTTGAAATGCACTAAAAAAAAAAAAAAAATAGATTAAAAAAAGTGAATTTGTAA